ACACTAATACTACGAAAAAAAAAATAAAAGACTTAATTTAATTAAGTCAAACACTGATGAACGCTTCTGACTCGCACGCAAACCTGAGGAAGATAAATATTTAAATTGAATATCTCATACAAATTTGGATCGACCTTATAAAGGTGATTTCTGCACGTACTTGTGAAGTATATGGCAAATGCCAAATTTAGAACAAAATTTTTTATGATGCAAAAATTTCTTTTTTTGATGATTTTTCGTAGGATTCGAACTTAAGAAGATTTGATCAAACATTTCTCATGGAAATTTGCTTGTAATTTGCTATTAAATAGTAAGTGTAATTTACTAATAGTAAGTTGTTTTAATAATAACTAGTAAATCGCAAGTAGTAAAATAGAAAGACTAGCAATTTGCTAGTTAGTCTCGCTAGGGATCTCTTGTATTCAATATTTACTCTACATAAAAAAAAGCTCTAATGGACATAGAAAGAAGAAAATCATTGTAAGAAAGACATTACATGGAAAATCCCTTCTTTCACATTTGTTTAAGTAAAGAAATTGAAATTTATTGACACCGAATATTCGTTCCACATGCAAAAGATGAAAATTTTCTTTCATTTTCATTAAATCCTCCTTAAATGAAACAGAAACAAATAAAAGATTTGTTTTTCAGGGAGGAGAATTGGAAAAGTATTTGCTATTTTGTGGATGGAGTATTTTGACAAGATTTTGTACTTTGAGTTAAAGTAAATGTAAATTTGTTCATTTTATTAAAGAAAAATAAAAAGCTTTCGTAGCTCAAATGGTAAAGTGATAAACTCATTAAATTTGCTTCGTATGAAGGCAAGGGTTCAAATCCAACGAGTCGAATAAATTTTACTTCATAATTCTGGCTCAAGTTCTACAATTAACCAGAAAAGATGAATTTTTAATCCTAAGTTGATCAAACTTTAACCTCCATCACATCAGTAGCCATAAAAAAATATCCATCCTTATATCTTGTTACTAAGTGGTTCTAGGAATTTGCTGCTCCCTTCAAAAGCATGAAATAAAGCCAATATCTATCGAAACTATTTCGCAGCACATCTCCAGCATCTATTTACACAATTATTTGATTTTCCCATTTTTCTCTATTCAATGTTCAACCTGAGACAGGTACGAGAAGAAAAAAAATCTCGTCCTTGTATTCAATTTTCAAATCTATCGACAATACGATGGAATTAACACACAAAAATTCCAAACCTTCTTATCACTGCTTGCGCTCTTTTTTTCAAATTTGTTCCAATCAAATTAAACTTTTCTTCTTCTCGTCGTCGACTGCTGGTTCTCATCTTCGTCCGATATTCAACTTCAATTTTTTTGGTACATTTTTTTATTTCATTCTCTTTAAAATTGACACAAGTAGATACATGTATGGCGGGTAGGAGGAAGTAGGAAACAACACTCAAGTTTGCAGATTGAGGAGCTTTTAATGGTTGAAAATGATTTAATCATTTTGATTGAAAAACTAAAGAACGATGCAGTCAGTCACACAATTCAAAAACCTAACACCAATTTTACTTTTTTAAAAAAAATCACCAAAAAAGAAAGCGATTGAGACAAAAAAAATAAATTCAATTTGCGAATCCTTTTCTAGCTTTTATTTCTATGCTTTTAAAAGTGCAGACTGAATAGACTGAAAACATTTCAAAGAATAGACGTTTTTTTCCGCATTTTCCCAATCTATTAATTCACTTAATTAGGAGTCTCAGTCCCGACAATTTTCATTCACAATGTTGGTTATTGATTTAAAGCAAAAATACATTGAGAGCCTTTTCAGTGTGACAATCGTCGAAATTGATGATACATCTATATTGGAAGAATAAAAATGCCGGTTTGATTGAATAGAAATGGAACAAAAAAAAATTGACGAACGCACATTTTTCGTGTCACTCAAAAATAAAAAAAAAAATAGTTCAATTTTGTGAAATAAAGTTTTGATGAATGGGGAATTTTTCTATAGTTTTTATTGAATTGATGGATTTTTTTGTAGGTTGCAAAAAAATTATTTGACACGTTGAGGAAAAAAAAATTGAAGTAATTCGTAAAACATTGATGTGCAATTATTGACATTTTTGACTTTTTATTAATCATCAAAAGTAAAATCTATAAAAATAAAAAAGAGGCATATCCAACTCCCCCTTCCCGGCTACGGACCTTACTTCCACATCTCACCACATTTTCACTTCTAAGTCTCTTCCTTAATTCCCTTCAATAGCTTCAACATACTTTCACTTTAATTCGATTAAATGACATTATTGACTATAATATATAGATGAGATATAGAAATAGAAATAAATATAATTTTATCACCACTTGCTCATTCTTCTTATGGCACTATTGGTGCTTCTTCTTCTTCATCTCACATCTTTTAAGTGTATCGATGATTTGGAGGAGGGGGATATGGGTAAGGTGACGTATAAAATTTTTTTTTATCTCCTTCAATTCTCTTTCTTTTCTTACTAAAAAGCACTTGCCATTATATTTCATGCCATTTCACCCACATATGCTCCATTCAATTCAATTCATTCACTCATTCATTTTCTTTAAGCGCTTTCTTGTATATGAGATGAAAATGTATCGATGTCAAGGGGTGGGAACTTAAGCAAGAGAATTGAGGACTTTGCAGGAAGCAGCAGGAAGAGTGGAATTGATGTAGCACAGGGGTTCAGTGAGTCCAGATCCCTGCAATTATCTTTTTTAAAACAAGCCTTTCTTCTAGCAAACTGGATTATAAACCTCCTTTATACCCCCCTCCCCCCTCCTCTACTTCTAACACATAATTAGTTTAGAGTCTCCCCTGATCCCCAGTTAACCTCCCCTTGCATCAACACTTACACTATAAAATGTTAGACTTTATTACATGCTACATGCTGTATACTACGAATAATTTCATTGAAGTAAGTACGACGAAGAAAAATGAAAAGGACTTAAACGTGCTACACAAGCAATGCTCTATCAATTTTATGTGAAACTATAAAAAAGAGTATAAGTAGAAGAATACAATCGAATGTTAAAAAAAATGATAAAAAAATTTTGGAAACACACAATGGAGGAACTGACATAATTGTGAATTCTTGTTGGGTAAAAAAATATTTTTTCTTTCTTTCAAGTTTGTATCGGTTCCATACATATGTTATGAAACGTTTTAGTAGCGGAATTATTGTCATTTTATTTCGCTCATTTGCATTCTTCCTTTCATTGCCGTTTATTCTATTTATGTTGCATTAACTTCTGGTCGTAAAAAGTGAATGAACGAGGGAGCTTCCTTAATATGTACTGTACTATATATAGAGTTAGTACCTAATAGTAAGGTTTAATGTTATTTTATGTTGGTGTTGCTTTATTTACATAGAACACGAGCTTGAAATTGTTGGAAGGATATTCGAAATTTGAATTGTTTTTGAAAAATTAGACGCATTTTGAATTTCGAATTTAAATTTTGGAATTTTTTTTAATTTTTTGAATTATTTTGAATTTTTTGTTATCTTTTGAACTTTTTTAATTTTTTTATTTTTTGAATTTTTTGTTTGTTTTTTGAAATTTCTTGAATTTTTGGATTTTTTTTGAACATTGTTTAATTTTTTTTTTGAAATTTTGGATTTTTTTGAATTGATTGATTTTTGTTTTATTTGAATTTTAAGTTAAATTTCAAACCTGAATTTTTAAAAAATATAATTTTTACTTTAATTTTGAATTTCAAATTCGAATTCATAACCTAAGTTCTGAATTGATTTTCGAAATTATAAGACTAGCTGTAAAGCTCACGCTTCACAAAATTTCACCTCAAAGCATTTCTTTCATTGACTTTTTCATTTCCTTTTTATGTACATCCAAAGACATTTTTTATGCATGAACATTTTCCTGGAATTTAAATTAAATTCTCACCTTTAACATCGCAAAAAGGAAGAAAAAGCAAAAAAGTTTTTATTAGGTAAACTAAATGAAAGATAAGCACATACACATATAGAGCACATACACAAAAAAAATTTAATCCATTTTCAAACATAGAACAAAATACTTTTAAATGCATATTTAATCCATTTTTGCTGTTCACTCTATTGTTTCAAAAGTATTTTTATGCATCATTACGGTACATTGTCTGAAGCAAGGCAAACAGGGAATATGATGCTCGAACAAACTGGAAAATTAAGTGGAAAAAATGTTTAAATTTATGACGTAAGAGATATGAAATTTTGTAGATATGAGCAAAAATGCTGGTAAATGACTATTACAATTGCATTATGTAGGATTGACCATTCAGATTTTAATTTACTAAATATCCATTTACTTTAATATTAGGTTTTGTATCCATGTCATCAATATTTTACAAAATAAATGCTAGGTAAATAGTATTTTTCATAATTAGAGCTTTGTGTCTATTTTCTTGTGGATTATAAATATTAATATCCATGGAATATTAAACAATTTTGCTTACCGCAGTGAAACTTTCAAGTGATAAAGCTTGAAATTTATATGATGTGACTATAAACGGTTTTTGTGATCGCATGATGATAATGAGCAAAGTTTTCTTGAATTTTATGGATCCTTTGTACCACAGATTTTCGTATGCACCATCAGCTAGATTTAGAGATGCTCTGGAAGTAAGAAATTATTAAAATCATATAATGGAGATCGTGATTTAGTGATCAGTGAGCCTAAAAGACAGAATATTGTTCAAACTAAGCCGATAATGTACCTTGATCATACCTAGATGTTCTTAAGGCAATCAATATCCTAAGATATGCCCGAAAATTTAATCCCTAGCCAACAAATCAAATATCATCAATAACAAACTTAATAGCATCACATAAACTCACCTTGTCATTTGATCAACATGAAAACATTGAAACCCAATTCGAAATAAGCTCGTAAAGAAGCAAATAATGAACTTTAACAATGGAACTCCCTTAACGCCAAGCTATTAAGTAAAAGAAAAACGAGTTCGACATTAAAAGCTACCCGAAAACAAAAATGCAAAAATTATTTTACAACAGCATTAAAAGCAGCCAAACACGTAATTATTGTCGATGCCAAAATATCCCCGAGCAATGAGAATGAATAAAGTTTTTCAAGCTTGTCCACAATTTTCTTTAAATGCTGATGAACTTTCACAAAATCCTTTAAACTTTCCAAGCTCTTTTCATGATTTTCGACATCAATCTCAACAATTTCACGTCGCAGCAATTCGAGACGCATTGTGATGAGTGATGTGATGTTGCAGAAAAGTAAATCCGAGCCTAAAACTTCAACAGCACATTTACCGCAAAGCCATGTCTCGTAAATGTACATTATCGGATAAACGTAATCCTGCGTGGCATCAAATGGAAAATAGAATTTGAAAGGTAATTCCCATTTGACGTTAGTTCCAAGAATGAATCCTGTAAATTTTTCCAAAATTGGCATAATGTTAAAGACAATAAGTAAGCTTGAATATGTAAGGCTGCTCGCGATTGACACAACTCGTATCTTTTTATAATAAGCCTCAATATTGAATTTCTCTTGAACATGCTGTGCCTTTGGTATGACTTCATCCAGATCATCAATCATTTCGGTAAAGATTTTTCGATTACGATAAACAACGAAATACGATTTCATTATAAGCATAACGATGAACCCAATCACAAGAATCATTTCAGTTACGTCGAGGAATTTTTCAGGTTTTCCAATGTTGTAGAACAGATAAGCCAGTGATTGAAGGATAATAAAGATGTAGAGGCCGTTCAGAAACCAATAATAAATTTCTTGGAAAAATTTATTCTTCACATTTATGGAATTGAGGTTGTAATGCCATCCAGCAATTTTGTAGACCAAATTGGTGATTTCAAAAAAGTTCGAAGCTTTGTAGATTTTAGACATCTTATCACAAATTGAATGTTGAAGTCAAACTGAAGCTTGTGAACTGAACTGGAAGTGAATTTATATGAAAAGTTTCAGGTCGATGGATATGACAATATGTCATTAATGAATACCTAAAGACATCAAAAGGAAATGAAAATTATTGTACAAAGTTATTTTGACATGTTCTTGATGGACATTGAAATGCAATAATTAACTCGTGGAACATCAACATCTGCATCGTATTTGCTCATATAAATTAATTTTAGATGCAACAATGATTATGAAATGTTGATAATCAGTTGTCTTTGGATGCATTTATTAATTATTCCGATGAATTGCTTGTTTGGACATTTTTGAATGTTTTTGATGCTTAATTGACTTGAAAATGATATTGTCTTACCTCATCTGTGGTCAGGTAGCCTTAGAAACTAGGTTCTGAATCTAAGAACTCCTCCCTCTTCTATCTTAGTCTAAACGACACATTCAACAAACCAGCGTCCATTCATTGCATCTTCAAACAAACTTATCACATTGGCCATTCAATGCAAGCTTTATTCTCATTCAACAGCTATTCAGTATTGCTTCATTTCATCATAAAATATTCAACACAACTTTCTTCTTTTTTCATTCATAAATATCACAAAAAAGAATCCTTTTCTAAAAAAGATTTCCTTTTCATCAATATTCATGACACCTCAACACAATGCTCTATAATGACCAATGCATTAAAGTGTCGTCTAGATCATAAAAGCTTCTCGCTTTTATCTCACGAATATAATAACAAAGAATAAAGGAGAAAAAAAAATTTATCCACCTTCTTTGGTATGTTTAATAGAGCAATCTGTTCATAGAAGCATGCACAAACACATGTATATTATGCTTTATAATGGATGGGACTGTGGGAGAAACTGCTGAAGGCAATGGCGATTTTTTAAAGATTTCGACTCAGTGATTATTTTTACCAGGAAGTTGCAACTGTTAAGAGAGTTATGAGGTTATGAGGGTCCATAAATCCAAATTTAAGTGTCATTCAACTGAAGCCATGGATCACAATTGATTTGTACAGATAACATAGTCCAAGTAAAGTAAGCAAGAAGAAACATCATGTTTTTGTGACCAGTAAGAGCAATTTGTAGCATTTTAGATTCAGATTGACGTAAAGCGATGCTACTTACGTTTTTTCGATATTCATACTGCCATAAATTACAGACCTTGATTTTTGTTTTAAGCTAGAGGGCAAGAACAAAGAGAAACTTTAATAATGACCTCAAATCCATCCCATTTTGTCATCGGCTCTAACAAATTGAACATGAAACTTAGTCTGATCAATAATTTAACATTATGAGTCTCGAACCTTTAACTTCTAAGTTATAATTGCATTATTTATTACCAAATCACCTGACAATTCCACCACCAGCCTCCTTTAGCTCCTAAAATCAAGTAAAGCTACAACCAAATGCCTTTAAACCTCTAAATTAATAAAATCCAATTTAAAAAATCACCACATTTCCCGATTTTTCCCACCACACCCCAGGCAAAGTGAAATTTATCATAAAAAAATACTGCAAGGCTATAAAATTTCCCATTTTTTTCCAAAGTATTTTTCACTCAATGAACAAACAAAAGGATTGCGACGAACAGCAGCAGCAGCACCAACAACAGCATTTATAGTCGAGAAGAAAAAAAAATATGAAAAGCTGCCACGGATGTATAATACACAATCTATTGACAAGCAAGAATGAGAACAACAAAGGAAATCTAAAACTCTTTGTGTTGTACACGTAGTCGAAAGAGCTAAAATAACATTATTATTGTCGTATATCGATATTTATATAAGAAAATAGAGTGAGTTTATGTTGTACAGAAGGACACGAAGTGTATTGAGTGTCACGTGGATGTGAAGAAAATTGAGATAAAATTTAGAGCACAAAATTCTCGACTCGTTTGAGATAATAATTTTTTTGAAAATTGCAATAGAACATAACATAAATAAGAAGAAAATCTTTACCAGCTCAAGTTTATGTGCAGCAACAAAACATTTTTGTTCATTATACATGCAGAAATGCTAATTTGTACACAAAAGATGTTCAGTCTTTAGACTGCATGAAGCCATAGGTTAATACATAACATAAAATTTATCTGACGACAACTGTTCCTCTCCTTACTTATTCTTATAATGTTCAATGTATACTATTCACTACAGCAGGTGGATGTGAAAGGAAGATGACAAGTTGAGATTGAGAAAATTAGTTGGTGTTATGGTAATGAAGAAAACTTTCAAGACATAAACATCTTCAGCACTTTATGTGCTTCGAGTGAAAAAAGGGAAATGGGAGAATTTGCTTTGGATTGCAGGGATTTTTATGAAATCGGTTCGGAAAACATTCAGTTCAAATTAATGGTCGATAGAGAGACTTTACAATTTTATGCTGATTTTTAAAGCTAAAACAATCGTTTTTTAAGCCCTAGTTGGGAATGCTTGGTAACATTGTTATTCAAAACTAAGTCCTGCTTAACCTAACATTGCTTAACCTCACGATGTCAAGTTTAACAGCTTTTGGCTTTTGAGGTAAGTTCCAGACTACTTGCAATTGATTTGAAAACATCATGTGGTTGAAATTCTTGAGTTTTAAAGTTCTGTGGGCCATTTTGATCATTGACTATTGGTTGGAACTTCATAAAGATTCGAACCGAGGACTTCTGCTTGTTAATTTAGATAAATTCATGATTCAAAGCGCTAAACCACTGAGTAATTGAAGTTCTGATGCTCATTTCATTTCTAATGACTAAACTAAGTTTAAGAATGGCTCAGTACTATGTTTAAAAATCACAAGACAATAGCACACTCTGCAAAAGATTCCACAACTTCATCTTACATCCCTGAAGTGACTGAAAAAGAATTAAGAATTTCTCTCAACAATCCATTTTTTTCTGCTTTCTTAATTAAAAAATTGCGAAAAAAAAGAACGAGAAAAATGAGACAAGATATTTTAACTACAAAATGTTGAGATTGCAACGAGCAGCATGAGAAAAAATATTTTTTTCTTTCCTCTCGCTTGATTTTGTTTTGCTTTTTTTCTCTTCTCGTCTCACACTTTTTTTAATGACATCTGTGCATGGCAAAAAATAGCATTCTATAAGGAATAGAAATGCAGAAAATAAGAAATGAGTAGGTGTAGCATTAACTTAATATATTTAGCATTGCTGCAAAAAAAAATCCACCACTGTGGCATAAATTTGCAATAAAACAATGCACAAAATATGAAATAAGCTTGGGACATACACAAGAAATTATTAATAAAAAATTCTGAAATTTTCCATGTTCAACATTTATGTCATGTTTATGAATCGCAAAAAATAAATGTCGAGCTGAAAGCAGCATATTGTTTATTGTTTGTCGACATGAAAAACATGAGGAAGAAACTAAACGATGATGATTTTTTTTCCTGTGCTGCTTTTCATGTTTGATAATGGCTGAAAAGCTAAGAAATGTTGCAATTTTAAAGAGAAAAATTTTGTTCTTCAAAGCTCCTCTTTTGGGGTTGTCTATTGGAGGGGACTTTCGTAATTGGAGGTTATCAAAAGCTGAGATGGCAAAACCGATCCTTTGATGTCTTTGAAAAACAATCCGAACACCACTAGCTACCCAAGGGACCTCACACAACCAGAAACCCACTTTACCAACTCTAATCATTAAATTCTATCAACACTTATTACCAGCATTACCTGCAAGTGCCTCAACATCCAAAACCTCACTCGAAAAAATCCTCAAAAAATTCCTTAGTTCCACATTTTTGCATTTACGTCTTCCACTTACTGATAAACTGAACTCTTGAATACATGTTATTGAATTATTGATTTTCAAAGAAATAAAACCTTTTTTTTACTCACAAAACTTAACCTAAAAGTTTCTCATCCGAGAGTAAGACGATTTTCCTCACATTTTTCAATTTTCCAGAAGTAAAAAAATACCAAAAGAAGTAGCAACAATATGGACATGAATATTTAAAACAAAATCACATTTACAGAAGCACTTAAACTTGACAAAATAAGAAAGATTGAAAAACTTTTATTTAATGCAATTTTTAATTTATATTTTAAAAGCTTTGGAAAGTGAAACAAATTGTCTCAGACAGTCGATGTCACTAGGAATTTATTCACTTATAACACATTATGGATGATGACATGTGGAACTTTATATTTTTTATTTTTGACTCCCCTCTCAACGAAATGTTCACAAAACTTTAAATGTGATTTAAATAATAAAAGAAAAATATATTTTTTGTGCTACGTTTGGAATGAGAATAGTCAAAGTGGCCATAAAATGTGAAAAATTATTGCAAGAATTAATAGAAAAATGCATGTTTTTATACATAATTTAATTTATTATATCCGGAATGGTTAGGAAACAAGAGGGTAAAATACTGAATATTTTAAACAATATTCTTGAAATAAGTTTGAATGACATTTTCGAGTATTGATGGATAAGGCGCATTTTTGAATAATTCTTACTAGTTTATTAAATAAAGTAATTATTAGATTTGTCATTGGTTTCTCGAATGTATCATTTAGACTAGGATATAATGTGGTTATACTTGAAGGAATTGCGTGGCATACCCAAAAACCTAACCTTAAGATACCTTAATATAGGGACTGCTTTATGAAGAACTATAGGAATAAACTTAGCCTATGCTTTTTGCATCAAAGCTTTTTCACTAAAATAATCACTAGGGTATAGTCTAAGGTAGTATAGACCATAAGATAAA